GTCCAACTCTTTATATATCATTCATGAAATTAGGGAATTAGGTTACCGACCTAATTACCTAACAATTCAAAAGTGTAACGTGATGTTTCTGCAGCGCGTGCACTTTTGATTTATTTGCCGTATTTCGCAATGTTCGTTTATGCAATACATGCATTTCGGCTGAAACGTCTTTTAGCGTTTCAACATGTTTTGTCCTACATAACAGTTATGATTAGACTCTTTTTGTAAGAACTCTAGTTTTACAATATCGTGATAACAATCCTTGCATATATTAAAATATCACATTTTATATACAAGAAATATAAAATATAATTTTATATTTTTGTATAAAAATATTGCACAACTGAAATGTAATGCAAACTTTGACTTGACAAACATTAGACTTCTTATATAACATGTTATATTAAAGTTATGTTGCTGTTATATTGTTGATGCAACTTAGCCAGTAAATAACATAATAACATAATAGTTTTGTAACATAATTATATCACAGTTATAAAGGAAATTAAGTAATCTCAATATTAATAACGTATAACAGCAATTATATTACATGTTACTCCTGTGTTATATCACAGTTATGTTCTGTGTTTGCTAGGGAGGCACCGAATCAGTATACGTGTATCTAATGATAAGGAGCAACGTGCTAGAACAACGCGCGATTATTGGAATGACTCCGAAGAAGAAAACGAAAGAAATGTACAACCTAATACAGACTCACACAACGAAGACGATTAATTCATGTAAGTCCAACATTTTCTTTTGTTGTCAACATGTTACTTCCGCGACTTTAAAAACAATATATTAGTAATAGCAATTTTAATAAATTGATAGTGTTAACATAAATTTGCGGATAAATTTGTAATTATATCACTATCATTATCATATCCTATCTGCTTCGATTCTGCACGTTATCGGAAATACGCTCACTCTTTGTATTTGTACTTTCATATAAACTGAAAACGATTTTTAACGCTCGCGTTGACGCGAGTTCGTTAGATAAAATAAACGCATGTCTCTATATTGCCACATAAACAACTCTCGAAATTAAATATAGCGTGACACTATGAGTGATCACTCCCTTTTACCTTCTAAACTAAAAAAGATAGACCATGATAAATATGTGTTAAATTAATAAATTATGTATTATATATTATAGGTGGTAATATATTAATTAAATGGTGGTATTATGTTAATTAAATGGTTTTCTATATATAAACTCTGTTGCACAGTGGTTGCCCGTGAAAATTATTTTAGTTAGAAAACTAAGAGGTATGTAATTTTTTATGATAATATATTGTAATATGGATATTTTGATGTAATAAAAGTTGCAACGCTATTTAAAACGAATATAATGATGTACGATATAATGAAATTATTGTACAAGTTCAACAAATTTTGTCGGTGTCAAGTGTCACGGGTGGCTACTACTTTTACCTTTTTGGTCCTGCCGTTTGTCCAACTTCCGACATTACTGCACATTACGGTTGATAAACGTAACGTAAAATTTAATATCGAAATCAGATGACAGATATATCAACCGCTAATGTAAGTTGGTTCACACACGGCAGGAACGAAAATGTAAAAGTAATAGCTACCTGTGAAACTTATAGAACTCGTAAAATAGTTCCACTGTATCATACATCATTGTATTCGTTATAAATAGCACTACAACTTTCATTATCAAAACATCCATATTACTATAAAAAATTGTACATACTTTTTTGTTTTTTAACTTAAATAATTTTTATGGACAACCGTTATGTGCTCACAATAGAATTTAGTTAAAATTTAATTTAATACATATTTATTATGGATTATCTCTTTCAGAAGGTAAAAATATGCGGCTGCTTATAGCGGAACACTCCGTATATCTTGTATTTTACCAGTTTCAGCTTTCAATACGTCATGGAGATTGCGCAGTCCTGAACTTCTAATCTCGTCAGATGATGGGGGACGTATGGAAACGCTGCGCTATAATGTAGTGTACTGTAAATTCGTGGGTTCCACTTGTGGGTATAACGTCTTATCTCCTATGACCCATAAAAAAAAAATGAAGATTTTAACAGCTCAAAAAGTGACGCATTATGATAAA